GAAAACCAGAAGAACCAGGCAGGCGCCAGTTCCGATTCTTTTCTTCCTTTTACTTGATCTTTTTAACGTGAGTTCCATAAATAATTTTGCTTATCCAAGATTTCCATTAAAATATATCTGCCCCTATAAAAAGGAATATTATTATCCTTCTAATATATATTGAATTGAAATCAGACGAATATTAATTAAAATTTGTTTCCCCTTCAGCATTGCTTACCGTTTCTTTTACTGTTTTCCAAATATAATCTTATCCATTCACGTTAAAATACAAATGTTTCTTTTATATAAATATCATCATTCTTTTAATGTTAGGAATTCATTGCAAAAATATAATGAACACAAAATTGAAAAATCGGCAGTTGAATTTTACGCTAAAATAACTAACTTATTTTCACTACAAATCGATCAATTTAAAAATGAAGAAGAATAATTTGAATAAATAGTCATTATGTAAACAACTAATCATTTTCACACAAAAATTCATATTCACTTGTATTAACCCTTAGCACGCCATAGGCCGCCTCAGTCGTCACTTATTTTGATATAGGAAAAATGATAAAGTTCGATATTTAATATTAACTTTTGTATAATGCATCAATATGTGAAATATTAAAACAAAACAGCTTTATTTCTTAATATATGTATGATTTCTGAAATTAATTTTTAAAAAATATTCTTTATATTTAATCCAAAAATGTGTCAAGTGCTTCCAGTAAAAAACTTTCGGAGTACAAAGTGTTAAAATTATTACTAAAAATGATATCAACTCATATTTAACCCCTTAATGCACAAATTTTCTCAATGTGCAATATTCTATACAAACTTCAAGTCAACCATTACTCATGTTTCCATTTGATTAACCATATAAAATTGCTACCATGTAATTTTTCCTAACAAAAGCTTTTCATTTAAACAGAAGAAATAAATTATAATCTTGAATGTAAACAAATTAGTGAAGTTTAATACGGTTCTTCAAGAGTCCTTTGAGCACTTTTAAGGTTTTATACAAAATTATTGTTGTATCTGTATAAGTACACAAATTTATTTTACAATTTTTCGCAAATGCCTTGTCATAATTTAAATAGTTGTAAACTGAAAATTCTAAAATGAGTCAATTTTAACAGTCTAGTAGTTTTAGTGTTAAACTTCAGTTTAATCAAACACGCAGCGTGTCGAATGTCATTTTCCAATTCCTGAGTTTCTTAAGGTCTTCTATAAATAGAATACTCATAGTCCGATGCAGGAACAAAATTGCTTTTTGCTTTCCTTTTGCAAAAAGAAATTATTTGGCCACCTCTTGCGAGCCACACCAGCCGATCTCTGGTTTAAATATCTCAGTTTTTTCCTCGTTTTGTGATGGTTTCTTGTAAATAGAATTTTTATGG